TCTCTCTCTCTGTCTCTCTCTCTCTGTTTCTCTCTCTCTCTGTCTCTCTCTCTCTGTCTCTCTCTCTCTCTCTCTCTCTCTGTCTCTCTCTCTCTCTCCCTTTCTCCCTCTCTCTCCCTCTCCCTCCCTCCCTTCCTCCCTCCCTCTCTCTCAGCCTCATTACAAACTGAAGCAGGTGAATAATAAATGTCAGAACTCACTGTTTTTCCATTAATGTCGTTATTTTACCCACAAACTGAAGCTCCTGTAAAACGTTTATTACGTCTCTTCTGCCCTTTCACGCTTTTCTCACCCTTCCCCGGTGTGGCGGCGGTGGCGAGGGGCGGCGGCGGGGGTGTGTCTCGGGGATCAATAACAGTTGAGGGTGCTAAGGCCTTTTTCTCTCTCTCACTTTGGGTTTGTGGGAGAAACCCAACGGTTGTCCCAGCAGGCCTCCAGATGGGTGTATTATTCCCGTGTGTGGGAAATGTGCCCTAGTTATTTTTTTGCGGGCGTTTAAACCCCCTTTACAATCTGCGGGATTGAGATAGCGAATGTTTCATCCCATGACCAAACGGTTTCTGAATAAGAACGAGAGGCGCTTTGAACGAGGGATCTTAGGAATACTGACGTTTCCCGTCACATGAAGGATGTCTTTAGGATTATCTGTGGACCGGCGGCGGGCGGCGGCGGCGAGGAGGCCAGACACTTACCTCAAACACAAGAAGAGGAAGAAGGCGATGAGCAGAGCCACCATTGAGATGCAGTGACCCAGGAAGTTTATGATCACGGCTATCTGGTAGTGCATCTTGCCTTTCTTCTGCAGGGAGACGAAGAAACAGAAACAAGATTCACAGGATGAAAAAGAATTTTTAAAAAAGAGACTTAAAAGGCTGAAAATCCTCTTTTGTCTATTTTTCATTTGTGTGGAGAGTTTCTGTGGACTCCTGCTGAGCTTATTAGGACGGGAGGAGGAGGAAGAGGAGGAGGGTGGCACAGTTTTAAATATAATAATAATAAACTCATTTATTCAGTGTGATAAATACAAAATAAACTATTCTAATATAATAATGAATCAATAACTAGCAGCTATTTCTAACATCAAACATCCTTAAGACGTGGAGGGATTATACGACAGCAGGACCCCCCCGGCATTAGACCGGAGGAGACGTCTCTAAGTGCATCGAAGTTTGTCCCCTAAATGTTGTTTTCTGTCTGTTTGTGGTCAGTTATCGTCTCCTTATGGCCTTTTCTATCACTATGTGGTCATTCTACGTCTCCCTGTTGTCATTTTGTGTCTCTGTAGTCATTTACGTCTCTTTGTGGTCATTTCTTGTCTCCTGGTGGTCATTTTTCATCTCTTTGTAGTCTTTTTGTCTCTAAGTGGTTGTGTTTTGTGTCATAAATGTTGTTGTGTGTCTCTTTGTGGTCTTTCTACGTCTCTCTGTTGTCATTTTGTGTCTCAGAGGTTATTTTTCATCTTTAGTAGTTCCTTTTTGTCTCTGTGGTTGGTTTGTGCCTCTTTGCAGCCCTTTTTGTATTTTTGAAATCATTTTACATCTCTTTATGGTCATTTCTTGTCTGTTTATGGTCATTTCTTGTTTCCTGGTGGTCGTTTTTCTCTTACTGGTCATTTGTGATATTTGTGTAGTCATTTTGCGTCTTTTCGTTGCCCTTTTTTGTAATTTTGTGTCTCTGCAGTGAATTTACACCTCTTAGTGGTCTTGTTTTGTCTCTCAGTGGTAATTTTTCATATTTGTGTAGTTTTTGCGTCGTTTTTCATCTCTTTGTAGTCTTTTTGTCTCTTACTGTGTATTCCCTAACTACTTTTATTTTTATCTCATCCTGTCTTTCCTGTTTCCTGCTTTCCAACAGTAATGAGACAAAGTATTTTACATTAATTAAAGTCCCAGTGAGTGAAACCTGTTGTTGCCCAGATGTGTGTTTAACCTCTGTAAATCCTCTCTGTGTGTTTGGCTGGAGGATGTAGATTGTCTGCGAGGTCAGAGATACAACCTGTTTGATTCTCTATGTGCTGCATAAATGCTCATTATAATCATCTGTATTCTTCTGAAGCTTCAGTAAACATTATTTCCTTCAATCTGGAACCTGAGTGATGTTTTCTTCAAACAAAGATTTCTTCCACAGTGTCGTTTCTTCTCTCTTTGTGGTTGTTTGTTGTCCGTTTATGGTCATTTCTCGTCTCTTAGAGGTTGTTTTTCATCTCAGTAGTCACTGTCCGTTTCTTTGTGGCCCTTTTTGGTCTCTTAGTGCTAATTTTTGGTCTCTTTGTTGTGATTTTGTTTGTTTTTTACTGGTTGTTTGGCTGTTTATGGTCCTTTTTTGTCTCTTAGTGGTCATTTTCCATCTTTGTGTGGCAATTTCTTCTCTACTTGTGGTTGTTTTGCATTTCTTTGTGGTAACTTTTCATCTCTTTGCAGTCGTTTTGTCTCTCCATAGTCCCTTTGTGGCCCTTTTTTTTGTCTCTTTGTTGTGATTGTTTGTTTCTTACTTCTTGTTTGTTGTCTGTTTATGGTCATTTCTTGTCTCTTAGTGGTTGTTTTTCGTCTCTATAGTCGTTTTGTGTCTCTATAGTCATTTTATTCTGTTTGTGGTCCTTTTTTTGTCTCTTTGTGGTCCTTTTATGTCTGTTTATGGTCATTACTTGTCTCTTAGTGGTTGCTTTTAATCTCTTTGTACTTGTTTTGTGTCTCTAGTCATTTTGCACCTCTTTGTCTCTTAGTGCTGATTGTTCATCTCTTTGTGGTTGTCTTCTGTGTCCTAATGTTTTTTTTTTTATCAGTTTGACTGTTTTCATCTCTTTGTGTTTGTTAATCTCTCTAGGAGGTCATTTTTCATCTCTTTTTGGTCATTTCTTGTCTCCTTTTTGACTTTTCCACTGGTTCTGGTCCTGTACCCGATAGGCCCCTCCACCCATAATGCCAATAACCTACCTATCACCTGTCACCTCTGAGACTTCAGGGTGACTGTCGCCCTTTGGCCTGGCTTTAAAACATGAACAGAGGCTTGTGAAACATGCACACGCTCACATGCAGTATCCACATGAGGCCCTTGTGGCACTACTGCTGCAGCTAAAAGCTTTACACAACAACGGACACATCTTGCTCTGAATCGGTGCCTAAGACCACTGTCTGTGACTCAGATATCCATTGTGATCGGATTTCCAACAACACTACCAACAGTAATCTGTGCTGTAAGTGGATTTATGTAACCTACTGGTGTCTACGTCGAGATTAAATGTGGGTATGTTTAATCCCGGCCCCGCCCGCCTTGAAACATGTCATCTCTCCCATTCACTTTATTTTGGTGAAGCAGCTCAAATCTCTTTAAGTCTACAGTGGACAAACAGCATGTTACTGTATCTCCTGATTCATTTACTGTGTCTGCCTGTTATCTGTATGTAATATACACACAGGGACAGACATTTATGGGGGAAACAAGCCCTCATAAATAAGAAAAAAGGTTCTTTGTTACTTCCTTTCCAAAGAGACTCAAATAAATATTAAATTTTCTGACCTCTGCAGTCGAGGTTTGACTCTTTACTGCTAGTTGGTGATTGGTTTGGATCTATAAGTCTGTTTTAATAGACTATTCACACGTTATATGTACAATAAAGAGTCTTAATCATCCAACCAAAGCGACCTAAACACTACTTATTGATCAAATAATGATCAAATCTGATACTCGGTATTGGTATCGGTTCGAAATCAGTGGATATCAGAGACAAAACGTACAATTCGAGACGATTTATTAGCTTCAGTGGTTTTAGGATCAATAGCTGCAGCTAAGGAGCATCTTCCTCCTCCTCCTCCTCCTCCTCCTCATCCTCCTCTTTGAGGTCTAATTAAGAGAATCAGCATCAGCAGAGGGGAGGAAATAACATTGTTTGCACTAAATTAGTTGTTGTTTCTTTATGTTCTCCT